ACTCCTGAAAACTGATTACTGTATTAATTTTAATTGGACAAAGTTAACCCATGTACAACTCTCAAAGATCTGACCCATTATAATTTCAGATTTTAGGCAACACACAAGGTTAACTCTTTAAGCAATAAAAAGAATTTTGCTAAGCAAGTGATGATTAAATCAGCTGTAACACAAAATACAGAGTATCTAGGTAAAAAACAGACAGCTTCAATGCTATTTTCTTTCCTGTTCCCAGTGCAATTTTGCTTGTTATTTATTTGGAACCAGATTTCAGTAGCATCTATGGAAATGAAATTTATTAATTTGGTATATTTCAATGAATACATCTCATCAGTACTAGGGTCTAGATTTAAAGGAGCAAACATCTGAACTTCAGAAGAGTTTAGTATTCTAGGGGAACATCTTCATTCACTAAACTGGAGACAGACATTATGGAATTCAATTTAGCAGATATATTTATAGACCTGTAAATCGAACGCGGAGGGCAGCTCTGGCTGGCGTACGTACTCCTCTCCGTTGTGAGGAGTAAAGGGAGCTAATGGGAATATTTGCTCCTGTCAGTCTCCCACAGTTGGGACACTGCCCAACCTGGCTTATGGCAAGACAACTCCAGTTACACAGAATACACCACACACCTTAAGCTGACCTGCCAGGTGTATGTAGACAGGCAGAGGCTGCTCCAGCAGCAGTCCCTGTCTGGGGGTGGGATCTCAGCGGGGAGCTGGGCCCCCCAGTAGACAGGGGCTCCTGCTTGAACAGTCCATGGCCATCCCTGGCCGCTGTGAGCCGGGCTGCTGCATTCAGTGCGAGCTGGACTGAACAGTTCTGGCTCGCGGTGGTCTAGGATACTGCACCTCTGCATTTTAAATGTAGAAAGATCCCAGCAGCTCTTACTACATTTAAAATGCAGCACCAGCCAACTCCAGGAACTACTCCCACTGCAGTTTTGCAGAGGTTCTGCAGAGTGGCCCTTACCAACTCATTGCACAGTTGATACAAATTGTATTGACTACATGATTAGCCAGATAACCACAATTTAATATCCTTAGGAGTAGGAATAAAAAGAACTCACAGGTGTGCCGCGACCGTTTGAGGAAAAGTAATGGCCGCTAGAGCCGCTGAGACGCAGCGGGTGGTGTGAAGGGCGGAAGAGGTGAGCGAGTGGTGATGCAACGGTAACATGACTGGAAACGAGGCAGGGTTACCTGAGTTCCTCCTCAAGTGCTTCCACGTGAAGGGTGGAAGAGGTGAGCGAGTGATGACACAGCACGAAATGAGGCGGGGCTACCCACGTTCCTCCTCATGTGCTTCTGCACCCGGCTTGTAATTGCCTGAAAAAGCTCCATGCCTTGGTTGCACCCCCTGCCAGAGGGGAGGAACATTGCAGGGTCAGTAGCAGGGCCAGCTCTGATTGGCTGTCTCTGCTGCTGGTCTGGGGATCCTGCCTGCCAGGAAAGAAAACTGCCCTACAGCCGCCAGCCCAGCTGGGTCTTTGTACCGCTGCCTTTAGCCCTTATTTGTTACCCACGACAGCTGAGGGGGGCCAGATACAATGTTCCTTCTTTGTTGGACAACTTTTTTTTATTTAATGGAGAGCAACTGACAGGTTATGTTTGGGATACTTAGATTAAAAAAGATGTTCCACTTTTCAAAAGATTATTTAAAAGATACTTAAATAATCATTGGGCAGTGAGCGAATATTGTCGGTGTCAATAGAAGTGTCACCTGGTGTTCAAGGTGTGTGGGGTGTGGTTTTCCCTCCCTCCCCCAAACCAAAAACCTCTTGGTGTTCCTCAAAAAAAATTGTTTGGTGTTCCTTGGTCTTAAAGTTTAAGAAACACTGGTTTAAACCAATAAAGGTAACTGATAAGCTCATGCTTAGCTGTTAACTAGTTAATCGGTTGAATTCTAACATTACTAATTCACAACCATATGTCGTTCTAAGGAGATTCATACTTACAAAGGGGGTTCTAATTCATGCAAAAGGAAGAAAATAATGAATTATGGATGTTATCGAGTTAGTTTACTTCCCGGTAACTCTGGCCTGAAACTCAGGAGAGGTGTCTGGTGTGGTTCGATGCACGATTCAAAAGATAGACATTATAATGTAATGGTTTAAGGGAATAACTATGTAAAAGAATATCACATTTGCATACTCAAGAGTCATATCTGGTCCCTTTGGTATAGGACCATTACTAGATGGAACTAGTAAAACTGTTAATGATACACGGAAGACCAAAATGTTTATATAAATTTCTAATATTTATTTGGTAAAAAGCAGGATGAGGAACTCCTATCATAGGAGGATGAAGTAATTTACAGTACGTTAATAAGCAAGGAAGATATTACATAACCTACAAAGGGATAAATATTTTAAAATCAGCAGGTTCCAGTAACTTGCTCTGTAGAGTTCTAAAAGAGTTGGCTGAGGAGATCTGAGTTGCTGATAATTTTTTATGAAGCCTTGGAATACTGGGAAAATTCCAGAAGATTGAAATAGTGGCTAACTTTGTGCCAATATTTAAAAGAGGGTAAAGAGGAAGACCCAGATAACTATCTAGTGGAAAAGCTGATATTACACTGATTTGATAAAAAGATATGAAGATGATTAATGCCAATCAATAGGATTTTATGGAAAACATGTCGTGTCAAATCAACCAGATTTCATTCTTTGAGATTAAAAGTTTGATTGGTAAAGATAATTGTATAGATGTAATATATAGAGACTTTTGCAAGACATTTGACATAGCACCACACAGTCTAGCTAAAAATTAGCATTATAAAGTATCTTTAGAATACACATTAAACTGTCTGTGTAAGTAGTGGTCTACTTCTAGTAGGGTCCCACAAGTACTAGTACCAGGTCTTGTGCTATTCAACCTTTTCATGAATGGTATGGAAGTAAATATAAAGTCACTGCTGATAAAATATGCAGATAACAAAGACTGGTGGAATGGTAAATGATAAGGAGAAAGTAGTCAGACATCAGTGGGTTTCAGCTGGTGAACTTGGCCTATTCAAACAAAATGCATTTTCAAAACACAGCTGAATGCAAGATTACACATCTAATAACAAGGAATGCAGGACATTCTAACTGAGGGTACATCCACACAGCAGGACAAAAGTTGAATTAAAATATACAACTTCAGCTATGTCAATTGCGTAGCTGAAGTCAAAATAGTTCCAAAAGCCAAAATAAGTTATTTACACAGCAGGAAGTCAAAGGAAGAATACTCTTCCTTCGACTTCCCTTATTCCTCATGAAATGAGTGTTACAGGAAGTCCGCCATCTCAACATTATTTCGAAATAATGGCTTGTTGTGTAGATGTGCATTTCAAAATACCATCAGTTATTCCAAAATTATGCTGCTGTGTAGAGGTACCCAAAATGTCCTGGAGAGCAATAACTCTGCAAAACAGGTGGTTTAGAAGTCACAGTGGACAAGCAACTTAATATGAGCTTCCAATTTGCTGGCAAAGTAAGTGAATGTAACCCCTGGATACATTTAAAAAAAAAAAAAAAGGAACAGTGTGCAAGAGTAGGGAGGCAATTTTACCCCAGTATATAGCATTTGAGAGACCGATACTGAAATACTGCATACCGTTTCAGTGTCTTTCAAAAGACTGTAGAAAAAGAGATAGCAAATGGGCAGAAAAGAGCCATAAAGATGATTAGACGGGCAGAAAAAATGACAGAGAGAGAGAGACTTAAAGAATGCAGTCTAATTTATCAAGACGACAACAGATGATTTGATTATAGTGTGTAAGTACCTCTACGGGGCCAAGATGTCAAGTACGAAATGACTCAAATTTAGAGGAGAAAGGCATAACAAGAATCAATGGCAGAAAGCTGAAGCCACACAAGTTTAGGCATATATTTTTTAATAATAAGAGCAATTGACCCTTGGAACACAATCTACCAAGAGAAGAGGTGGATTCTCCAACTCTTGACATCTTCAAATCAAGACTGGACGCCTTTCTGGAAAATATGTTTTAAGCCAAAACATAAAATGCAAGTTAATGGGCTCAATACAGGGGTAACTTAACTAGATTTAAGGGCCTATCATAGGCCATGTACTTTGATTTCTTGTTTAATGGTTCCTTCAGGCCTCAAATTCTAAAAGCATATTAAATAGAAATTGCTCTCTGTACTTCAAAAAGAAAAAAATCTTAAAGTACTAATGGAAACTGAAAATGTTTACACTATAAATTAGAAATATTCAACGTAAATGATATAAATATTATTAAAGTAATATTCTGAGTATGAAGTTGTGGCAATAACCAAGAATTCCCGATTCTGAACTACAGTTGCTATTTTTCACAAGCAGTAACAACCGACAAAATTTACAAAAGCCTATCTTCGTGTAATCCTTGTCCCCTGATACTGGAACGGATTCTGTACAGGTGTAAGACTATAATCACACAGATAAGATTGAATGATTCTGAGCTTTGACCATATAAAAAAAGCCTAATACCTTTTCTAGATGCTAACCCTCAATAGCATGTTTTCAATTGTTTACTTAGTAGTCCCTCTCTCAGGAGCTGATTAAAACATCTCTTGAGAAAACTGGATACATGGTAGTTAAATTAATGGAATGGTTACACCAAAATAAGTTTAAAATTTATTTATATATCTAAATTTTATGGACAAAGTTAATTTAAGTTTTACAGCGCGCTTTATTATTTTTATACTTTTTACACCCAAAAATGTCATAAGTACCCCCCTTTTAAAAAAGTTATATATATATATATATATATATATATATTTTAAAAATCACATTGCACATTTAACTGAGCAGTACCAGAATAAGTAAACAAACAAACAAATAAAGGTTAATACTAGTTTTTCTGTGTGTGCACTGTAGTCTCCATGATAGCAGAGCTAGTTCTTAGGTTTTTAATGTGTTTTTCCACTGTATGCGACAATCATCCAGACAGTGTAAAAAATAAATTACGCCCAACTTTTCATATCATTCTTAGCCTTTAGAATTAATGGATACCTTTTTTGAATTGAGAACTTGCTCTTCACTGCATTCTCTAGCCTCCTTGCTGTCTGCTTCTATCTCCTCTTTACTTTCAATTTCATCTTCACTAGCAATAGGTCCATTTTCACACAATGGAGTTTGAAAATCATCATCAACCAATGGAGGGTAACTGTACTTGAAAGTATCCTATAATACAAGAATATTTAATACACTAGTATATCAGAAGAAAGGAAAAGTGATCATAAAAGAAGTGTTTTTTTTTTTAGTTTTTACATCTTATATATTTAATTTATATAATGTAAGTTCCATTGGATCCATGGAAAAAAACTGGTTGAATTTTGTTCACCATAATACCAAATATGATAATCTAACACAGCCATTAATTTATAGCTAATAGCAATGTTTATATTCCCTCAAACAGGTCGCAGAATTTGTTGTGAACTGAAATTCGGCATTGAAAAATATAAAGGAGTGGGATTAATCCAAATTTTGTTTCTACATAACACAGACACAAACTTAAAACAGAAATAAGACAAAGTTACAGAAGTACAAAAAAAATTGAAAAAAAATCCTTTAACTGCTCTGGTTTTAAAGAAAATTATATAGATAGTCCATGATTTGGATTTGTAAAAACTAAAACAGATAAGCTATATATTAATGTTTAAAGAATTAGCATTATACATGTGCATTACCTATTTTAATACAGGCTTTCAGTCGATATCACTAGAGACTTGAAAATACACAGGTATTTACTTTCTCCTGTCAGGTTGGTTAAACACTAAAATAAATTGCCCAAGGAGGTTGTGGAATCTCCATCCCTGGAGATATTTAAGAGCAAGCTGGAGAGACATCTGTCAGGGATGATCTAGAAGGTGCTTGGTCCTGCTGTTAGGGCAAGGGACTGGACTTGATTTCTCATGGTCCCTTCCAGTTCTATGCTTTATATCTGTGGACCATTTTTTTCAGATAGCAGCAGAGATGCAGATACAAATTTTGCATCCATGCATGGCTCTTCAGCAGACTCACCACAATGCAGTGGCTGTCACCCAACAGCGCTGCTCTCTGATTCATACAGCAGAGGGGATAGCTTGGTAGGTATTCTGGGAATTGGAGCCCTCAGCTTCTCTGGATGGAGGAAGTAGACTCACTCCATTCTGGAAGTTGTAGTTAAGTGCCATTTTGAAAGAGGTGTTGCAGTGTAATTTAAATTAGTGGGTGGCGAGGGCCCATGCTATGGAGGGACAGTAGTTAGCCCCAATCTGTACAGACTGGGTCTGCATACATTACTGCCCCCGCAGCTGTAGCGGGGTGTCCAAGCCTGCTTCATTGGGTGGGTGGCACTGCACATAAGGACCCAGGATTGCAGCTTTCCCACCAAAAACAGGGGAAGGAAGTACGGCAGAGAAAGAACAAGGGTGGGACAGTAGGTCTCTGGGGAGAAGGACTGGGTGGATCTTCATTCTATTATGGTTTGGAAGGAAGTGAAAAATACAAGTCCTGTGCAAACTGAAGTTACCAAATTAGGATTACAGAGTTACTGCCGATCTTACAAAAAGAGATAGGAAATCTCTTTAAGACTTACCATTTAAAATCTCCAGTTGATATTTAATAGAACTTAAAATTAACAGTAAATGTGTAAGTTTATTAATATCAAATGGACACTACCAGACTCTTCCCTGAAAAATTTTAGTTGGCTCTACTACCAAAGTGTATATTTTATATACAGCCGGTCCAAGTTACGAACGCATCAACTTACAACCATTCGTATTAATGACCAACTTCCTATACAGCTGGTCCCTGAGTTACAAATGAAATCCGCACTTACGAACAGATCAAGATACAACCTAGTGTTTGGTACTTAACTCATTCGTAAGTCGGGGACTGGCTGTACACAAAAAAAATTGCATGAAGATATTAACCAGTGTATTTTAAAATTTTAATATACTTACAATTCCACCCATGTAGCCAGGCAGATATTCTGCACTGATGTATTCCTGTATTTCATTCTTGTTTGTGAACTTCAACATGCTTATTGCATCTGGACCAAGCCAACCCTTCACAATTTTAAAAGCAGCTAGACAGAAAATAATAAATAAAGTTGCATGAAAAAAATACTGCAGTCTTATCTGACATTGATGGCATGTAAATAAAAGCTCATAAAATAAATGCTCATAAAATGTTAGGCATGACACTGCTAGATGTCCAGGTAGGGTTTCTTTACCCAATTATAAAATGTTACAATAGGCAAAGAGCACATGTACATATCAGGATCTTGTGGTATAAAAACTTTGAGATGAATTTGTGAAGAGTCCTTTTGTGTAATACTTGTGAGCGGCAAAGTAATGGAGGTTATCAGAAAAGTGTGCTTATAAAACCTTGATAATTGTCTTGTGTAAAACATGATCTTTTTCTGAGTTTTGTTTTGCTTTAAGTTCTTTTAATTGGTTCTATTGGTCTCCTCTGCCTTTTAATACCATGAGACCAAATACATAAGATTCAAGGAAAGAAAAAAAAAATCCATAATGAAATGTTTAGAAAAACTGGAAGCACCTGAGAGGGAATTATTTACAAGTGAGAGTTCATTTTCTGAATGTATGGTCTCAGAGCCACACAGCACCTGGTCACTTGACCATGGAATTTCTGAGTAGTTGTTGACACTAGACACAATAAGCCACAGAACAAACTTGCACCCAGAAGCCTGATTTGGATGTATGCTCTAAAAACTGAGAAGAGGGATGTTCAGTGAAGGCAATAGATTTGTGCAACAAAAGTTATTGCTGGTAAGTAGTCCATTAGTACTACTGTTTCCCCAGTCCCCACTGCAGGACACTAGCTCTTTGAACAGTAACTGATGTACTACCCACCCAAAATAAGCATCTGGTCTTGTCAAGGGACCTGTAAAGTGGAATATTGAATTTCATGCAGCAGCCCCACCCTAGATAAGGACCAGTACCTCTTCCTGTGAAAGGGATCTCTGAAAAGGAAGGGCGGAATGGGTCTTGGCATGATTTCCTACTAGAGGAAAATAGCACAGCTGAAGTGCTACATATGAAAAAAATGCAGTAAAAAGAGGATTTTTATGCTCTATAGTTAGTTTAGGACTCTCCAATGTATTTTTAAATTTGCTTAAGTGTAACAGTGGTTGTTGCAAAGGTGGCTGAAGCAGGGGAAAAAGGTTCTGGGTAAGTCTGCGAGGACTTGGGGTCTCTGATGGTAACCTGCTGCTCAGAATTGCTCGAAATAACCTCTATGGAACATTCTGTAAAACAAGTGGGATCAAATTCCATGACCCAGTTGCTAATATGATTACTTATATCCTTTCCAAGACTGGATCAGGCTATCAACTGAAGTGGTAACAGGACAAAAAACTAAGGGTATGTCTACACTACCATGTTAATTCGAACTAACGGACATTAATTCGAACTAACTTTGATAGGTGCTACACTGCGCTCCACTAGTTCGAACTTAATTTGAACTAGCGGAGTGCTTAGTTCGAACTAGGTAAACCTCATTGTACGAGGACTAAGCCTAGTTTGAACTTACTAGTGCAAATTAAGGGGTGTGTAGCCCCTTAATTCGAACTAGTGGGAGGCCAGCCCTCCCCAGCTTTCCCTGGTGGCCACTCTGGCCAACACCAGGGAAACTCGTCTGCCCCCCTCCCGGCCCCGGACCCCTGAAAGGGGAACGGGCTGGCTACGGTGCCTGTGCCAGGTGCAAGCCTGCCAGCACCCAGCTAGCAGACCCTGCACCTGGCACGGCCCC